GGATATAGTTCATGTATTCCTTGTGGGCGATCAGAATCATCCTGAGAGAGATACTATATATTCAATGCTAGAAGGTTTAGTATCTCATATATCATTACATTCAGAACCTGATGATATGGTTATTCAAAGCCTGAATTATTGATTTACTCCTTTATTGAAAGAATGGCTTCAATGGTTATGGATAATTACTCCTTTATTCAAATTGCTGGAGATGGTGTTTGTGCCTTTGTGATCACCAATGGTTATGGATAATTAGGCCTTTCTGCGTGACTGGAAGACTGAAAACTAGGAATGACCTTGAATGCACACAGCTGATAATATTGGTTGCTTCCTACTAAATTCCTGGATGTAAGTTCTGCATCTCCCAAAGTGGATTAGATAAATAGTTCATTAAATGAAGATTGATCGAGATACAAGTTACTGTTGGAGATGGGATAATAAGCCAGAACACCAGTGCATTATTAGTTAAATTATCCTAGTTCCAAACTCAAAGTAATTGAGCCTTTTAACTGACTTTGTTTAACTATTCACACCTTTTAAAGTAATGCTTGTCATATGGTTCGTTGAATGTCTAGTGGAAACATTCTGTTTTATTTATTCGGCGAGATATTTATTTTTTCTAATATAGTGTGCTCGAACTCAGGGATTCCATGATGAAAGCAAAGAACACAAGGGGAGTAATTTTGATATTACTTGAAACATCAAAGGAAAAGGTCTGTCTAACTTTATATTTGCCTGAATGTTTTTGCCCTCCTTGATGGTTACTCTTTATTACTGCAGAGTACCTTCGGCCTAATTCAGGTTCAACACATTTGCTTACATATATTTGGGAAGGGGACAATATGTGTGTTTAGGTCCACAATTTTGGTTTAGGTGAATGTTGATCTAAAATAGTCAGTACTTATATTCCAGAATTTTCTGATTGCCTGTAAATGGTACTGCAATTCTAAATTAACAACTCACAAGGTTGTTTCCATTCCAATACCAGTTATGCGATAACTGCTACTAAATTTTGATCATTTAAGCTCCCAGCAATGTGGTTAAGCTGTACTCAGTTGCATATTTTCATGATTGGGACCTTTTGATTGCCATGGAGGAACAACTTGAGTGACAGCTGAATGGTCAAGTCCCAGTAAACTGCAAAAAGTTGAAGTTAACTGATACATATGGCTGCTATGGATTAAAAAGATCTTTGGGGCTTCTAGAATTATTAGAAGGCACAATCATCAACACAAGAGATGACGTTTAGCAAAGTTATGCTGTTCCTGAAGTTCTCAAAGCATGAGCGAGTCAGCCATCAGCACTTAACATATGAGAGGGCAGTTTTTAGGATCTGTTTGGTAGAGCTCCACTACTTAATTCTTAGCTCTAGCTCCTTGATTCTTTGATGGAGTGATTCTAGTTAATTCCTATGAGGGAGCAGGGTGGGGAGTAGATGAGAATTGATTGTGGTGGGTTTTGAATAGGGAGCAGCGATGAGCAGGGTTTTTTTAGCTCTTAACTTATAGCATAAATAGAGAAGTGATTCTTGTCTACTCCCCACCCTAGGAAGCAGAATCTGCTCCATGGAGCCTTGCCAAACGGCCCCCTTAGGATTACATCCTGGAGATAAATTTGGTTTCATCATTGGAGCCTATGAAATTTGAGAAGAGTGTGGCATATGTACAACCTCAATCCTTGAGATCTAAGTCAATCCTACACAATGTTTTCAAGTCGTCCAGTCGAACCTAGTCGCCATGGGACCGACCAGGAGACTAATCGCGATTAGTCGTGCCGATTAGTCGAGCCTAGTTGACCCCTGGTCGTCCTATATATCAGGACATATATACCTATTATATATATATATACCTATATATACTATATAGTATACACAATAAAGCAGGCATCAAGACTATATTAGTGTTTAGCTGGTGACTTACTTATGGGAGTTGTTTTCTTCTCTTTTCTGCTCATGTCCAGAGGTTCATATTCCTGTCCCAAACTCCATTTCTTTGCTGACTTGCTGTTGAAAGCCTAAAATACCAAAGAAGACCATAATTAGCAATACTAATGTAGTCTTGATCTTGACACAGCTCAATAGCAGCACTGCTGCAGTAGCAAATAACTAGCATTTAGCAGTTAGCACATAGCAGATCATAGCAGTCACACAGTCAGCATATTATACATAACCAAACAAGTTCAGTACACATAAGCTAAAGTGTTCAACACAGAGTCACAAACATTGACATTTAACCGTCCAACAAAAGTAGGCAACTAGCCATCTAATTAAGCAAATCAACATTAAAATTGAAGCCTCCATCTCCATCTCCAGTTTCAGTTGGTACAGATTCTTCATCCTCCTCCATTGCTATTGCCGAATCTACATGCTGATCTTGGTTTTCATCATCAACTTCATCAATATCTTGAGTCACTGTGTTCCTTGGACACTTCCTGTTCCTAGCATAAGTACGCCTCACAGGGGCAGCAACAGCAGCACGAGTAGCAACAGCCCTAGGCAAGTTACGTCCCTCTAGACCCTGAGTTGCACCAATAGCCTCATCCACAACAGTCCAAGTCATAGCATCGCCACCACCTTCATGAACTGGTTCTGGTTCACAATTTTCATTGACCCATTCATTTTCCTAATGAAATTCATCAAGCAAGAGTGGATTGCATCTCTTTCCTTTGGAACCCAGCTCTCTAATTTTTTAAAATCTATTTTCCATCTTGCAGTTGTAACTGACGTATACCAACTTATTTAACCTTTGGTGCTTTAATCGGTTTCTCTTTTTTGTGTGGACCTACACAAAATATAATGCAGAATCACATATCAATATTACTACCATACTAATTACTTAGCAGTAGTACACTAGCACTTACAATAGAAAATTCACTCCAACTACGCTCGCATCCAGATGTAGCGTAACAAAGACTAACAATCCTTTTTGCTAAACATTCTAACCCTAACATGCCAAACTGCAAGCTCAGTAGCCCACATATTCATCCAGTTAAACAGGTCCAAAAACAGAGTTACCAAACTAGTCGTCCCTGTCCTAGTCAGATGACTAATCGTGATTTCTTGTTGACTAATCGGACGACCAGCTTTCTGGTCGAGCTAATCGAGTCGGACCTCCTAATCGAACACTAGGGACCGATTATGACGAGTAATCGTGGTTAATCACGATTAATCGGATGACTTGAAAACATCGATCCAACAACTGAATGCAACACTCTACATTGCTGATGATGTGCCTATTGATTCTTGTATGGCTTGAAGTTAAGTTTTGCTGTAATCCAAAATATGTTACGAAATACTACTGTTGTTCTAATCCATACAATATTGTTAGCCATATTGGCCCCATTCGCTTGGTTTAATTTGGCTGAAAACACTGTTTCGGTTAAATTGTTGTGAGAGAAAAATACTGTTCTGGTTGAAAAAATAAGACGAACAAGCTGACTTTTAAGGTCAGCCGAACGGAGCCATTGAGATGTAAGTCAATTCTACAATTGAATCCAATCCTTGATAACTGAGCTAGTGCTTGAGTGGCTAGCATTGCCGGTGTGCACGTTGCCGGCGCGATTTCGATCCTAGGAATCGCACTCGCGTCACCGACACTTGTTCCCAATAGTTTTTTTTGTCTGTTTCGCGTAGAGAGTTTTTTTTTGTCTGTTTCGCGTAGAGATAGAGAGATTGTGACGCAACCATTGCCCATCCCATGATGGTCTCGGTGATCTTTAGAAGGACGCGAACTTTTGATCTGTGTGAAGTCCCCGTTTGCGTGCCCTTAAAACTGGTTTGATCTGCTTCTTTTTTCATTCGGAACAGTATTTTCCTTACAAATTTCTCTAGAATTCCTCTAAACCATCCAAATTCCTCCGGAACAAGGGCAACGGAACACCCCCGTAGTTATAGGTCTAGCTGTGCACACGTGGTGTGTAGGTAGCGTGGACGTGCGTTCGTGCATGAACAAGATACTACAGCTGTACCTATATGAGAGACTTTCAAAAATGGAATCCTTGATTTTGTCATGTGGCTTAGCTTTAAGTTTCATTGTAACGCCATCTATGTTAGGAACTTTTCCTGCACTACTAAACTTTACAGTTAACACCCTGTAGGATTTTTTAAATGCATTTATTTACTAATATGAAAGATATTTACCTACTGCTCAAAGCATTTATGTTCATGTGTTTTTTCATTCCTATGTTCCAATGAGTCCGTAGCTATAAATTCTTCATGTTCTATGTAAAGTTCTTTCTATAGCATCTATGTTTCCGCAGCAACGCGTGGGATATTCACCTAGTTTTGTTGGAGAGTGGTCTCCTATTCACTGTTCTCAAGAACCAATTTATCGTGTTTTGAAAACATACATCTACGAGTTTACTCCCTCCGTAAAAAAAATGAAAACCTCCTTTCCCAAGGTCAAATAATTTCTGAGTTAAACTTAGTTTTATAACAAATAGTATCAACATTTGTATATCTCTAAATATATTAATTATAAAAATATTACATGATTAATCTAGTAATACTTATTATGTATTATAAATATTAATAGTTTTTTTTATATATTTGCTCAAGTTTGGAATTGTTTGAAACTTTGGCAAGTGAGATTTTCGTTTTTGTTTTTTTTTTGAATGGAGGGAGCAGCTTAAGATCTGGTTTTGCAAAAATAAAAATATCATATGTGAGCTAGCTTGATGGGCCTTTGGGTGCACGCAGGTTCGCATAGGAATAACAGTCTCTCGAAGCATCCACGGCCTTCGAAACCTCTCCCGCCTCTCGACTCGTCTCCGGAAGCATCCACCAAACACCTGCCCCCCAGGTCGCGCAATCCACTCCCACAAGAAGTCTCCAGAACCGCATGCCCCCCTATAAAATGGTGATCTCGATCGACCGCGCTCGAGTTGCGAGCGATTCGCAGAGCAAAAAAGAACTAACAATCACATCAGCAGGGGCACGCACAGGCGCGCTGATCTGCAGCATTCTTGGGCTGATTGGTTGATCTCTGACGGCGGGCGAACCGATGGCGGACGACGCGTTCGACCTCCCCAGCGCCGGCGAGGAGGAGGAGGAGGAGGAGGTGATGGGAGGCCTGGAGGGGGACGAGGCCATGAAGGACCTCGACGCCGGGGTGGACGCCGATGAGGACTATTTCCCGCTGACGATGAAGGCTGGGGAGGAGAAGGAGATCGGGAAGGAGGGGCTCAAGAAGAAGCTCGTCAAGGAGGGCGAGGGGTGGGATCGCCCCGAGACCGGCGACGAGGTCGAAGGTACGTACGTGTTTGCGGATTTGCGCGCGAGCCTGCCTCTTCTTCTGTTAGTTTGTTCAGTCACCGGACGTACAGGTTGCTTGCTCACGGGAGGGGATTGGCCGACGCAAGAACAGAGTAGGAAAATGGAATCAGTACAGTAGCCGTGATAATCTAATACTCCTAAATCTAACTAACTATTTAATTTAAATTTGATAATCATTTAAAGCGCATCAATTCTGGTGGTTTTCAGAACCGAGTTACCCAAATGATGACAAAGAGCGATTGTTTCAAGTGACATGTTTGATCAGTTCAGTCTATACAGAAGTAATAATTTTTTAATCTGTTCGCTGCAGTGCATTACACTGGCACTCTTTTGGACGGAACAAAGTTCGATTCGAGCCGTGACCGTGGAACCCCGTTCAAATTCAAACTTGGACAAGGTGCGTGGAAGCAGCTTCAACGAGTATGATATGATATGATGACATCGGTCATCAGTTTGTGGTAATTTTTTGGGATGCTTGTTATTTTACTGCAGGGCAAGTGATTAAGGGATGGGACCTGGGCATCAAGACCATGAAGAAGGGTGAGAACGCAATCTTTACTATTCCGCCGGGGCTCGCCTACGGCGAGACGGGTTCGCCGCCCACCATCCCGCCCAATGCCACACTCCAGTTTGACGTTGAGCTCCTGTCATGGGCCAGCGTCAAGGATATATGCAAGGACGGTGGAATCTTTAAGAAGATCCTCGTTGAAGGCGAGAAGTGGGAGAACCCCAAGGACCTTGACGAAGTTTTTGGTATGATGTTATTTGATATACTGTGGTGCCTTAGTGCTGATAGTTTGAGATGTGGGTTTTGACACTTCTTGCTCAATTGATTCCTACAGTCAAGTACGAGGCAAGACTCGAGGATGGAACTGTTGTGTCCAAGTCTGATGGTGTTGAGTTTGCCATCAAAGATGGTTTGTATCTTGGAACTTCGACCTTCCTTAATGTATGATTGTGCTATCAGCTCTGAATCCTTCATTCTGTAACTAACAAAAGCCAAAGGGCGCCTAGTCCAAGCGGTTAGGTGGCCCGACGGCACTCCTCAGGTCCTGAGTTCGACTCTTCGTGGGAGCGAATTTCAGGCTGAGGTTAAAAAAATCCACTCGTTCGCCCCCAGGTGCCAAAGCGCAGTTAGGCTCCGGTCCGGTTCTCACAGGGTTACGGTACCACTGCGTCAGGATGGGGGCGGGGGTTCGGAGGTTTTCTCGATCTGTGTGAGAAGATCTTCTTCTTAAGAGAAAAACCCGGGGCCATCATCCCCCCGCAGGTCGAGTTTTTTTTGTTACTAACAAAATTGACACTGCAGGTTACTTCTGCCTGGCGCTTTGCAAGGCTGTGAAGACCATGAAGAAGGGCGAAAAGGTTCTCCTCACTGTCAAGCCACAATGTAAGTCTTCAAGAAATTGTAATTGGGCCTGTTTTTATTTCATTTTGGAATTGGCACAAAACCCTCGTTGACATAGTTAATTAATAAATATGTGTCCATTACGATGATCAGATGGCTTCGGGGAACAAGGAAAACCAGCTTCTGGAGATGAAGGAGCAGTGCCCCCCAATGCGATAATGCATATAGACCTTGAGCTGGTCTCTTGGAAGACTGTGACGCTTATTGGAGACCGCAAGAGGATCTTGAAGAAGGTTCTTAAGGAAGGCGAAGGTTACGAGCGCCCTAATGATGGAGCAGTAGTGAGAGGTGGGTAGTACTACATGCTACTAAGTAATTCATGCATTCCTGGTCACCCTTCCATCTGATTTTGGGTGCAGTGTTCTAACTTATTAGCCTGGCTTATCAGCCATGGAACAGTGTTTTCCTCTCACATCAAATCAGCTTCAGCCGGTTTATCAGCCGCAGAAACCATCAGTCGAATAGCTTCTAACATATATTCTTGTCCTTATACAGTGAGGCTTATTGGCAAATTGGAGGATGGTACTGTCTTTGTAAAGAAAGGGCATGACGGTGAAGAGCCTTTTGAGTTCAAGACCGATGAGGAGCAGGTTATTGAAGGGCTTGACATAACGGTGGTTAATATGAAGAAAGGAGAGGTTGCGTTGGTCAGAGTACCACCTGAACATGCATTTGGATCTGTTGAAACAAAGCTAGATCTTGCTATTGTTCCACCTAATTCTACTGTCTTTTATGAAGTGGAGCTTGTTTCCTTTGAGAAGGTAAGGCAGAAATTGCTTTTATTCGTCTGTTTATCATGGTTGCTGCTGCTGACCATATTGTAATGATAATTTATGCCTTTTCTTTCTTTAGGAGAAAGAATCTTGGGACTTGAAGACCAATACTGAGAAGATTGAAGCATCTGCAAAGAAGAAAGATGAAGGGAATGTGTGGTTTAAGATGGGCAAGTACGCCAAGGCTTCTAAGAGATATGAGAAGGTAAAATGGCAGCGTAGGATCCACAAAATCCCTGTTAATTTTATCAGAAAGACCATTGCTAATTCTATTTTCCCTTAAATCAGGCTGCAAAGTACATTGAGTATGACAGCTCTTTCAGTGAGGATGAGAAGAAGCAATCTAAAGCTCTGAAAGTCAGTTGCAAGCTCAACAACGCAGCCTGCAAGCTGAAACTGAAAGAATACAGAGAAGCAGAGAAACTCTGCACAAAGGTACTGTAGGCTCGCCCTTTGCCATCATATGTTGTAAAAAGCATCGATACTGACTATGAGCTCTGGCATTCAGGTTCTGGAACTCGAGAGCACAAATGTTAAGGCCTTGTACAGAAGGGCGCAAGCATACATCGAGCTTGCTGACCTAGAGCTGGCAGAGTTGGATGTGAAGAAAGCTCTTGAAATCGATCCTGACAACAGGTACGATTTGTGTCTACTGAACTTCGGCCAAGTTATTTTTTGAAACATAACTTCGGCCAAGTTCTTCGATGCTTAGTCTAGCAAGGATCACTGGATCATCGGCTCAGCATTGTGAAATTAACGCCTGACTGTTTTCCCGATCAGGGATGTTAAGCTGGTGTACAAGACCCTGAAGGAGAGAATGAGAGAGTACAACAGACGGGACGCCAAGTTCTACGGCAGCATGTTTGCGAAATGGAGGACGCTTGAACAGCTGCAGAAGGTGCCCGGGAAGCAGGAGCCGCAACCGATGGCCATCGACAGTGCTGCATAAGAGCTTTGCGCTCGTTTGCCATGCTTTATTACTTACTGCGGGATCAAAGGAGAATCTCCTTAGCCATGTTTGTCGTTCGTCACTGTTGTCTTATTTTCCTCTTGGCTGCTGCTACCCCTATGTATTCAGCCGCATGCGTGAAATATTTGGTCGTCTGCTGCTGCGATTTTATCGCGGTGTGAGTGGGGTGATATGAGACTGTATGGGTCTATCTTTAGTGGCAGACATCAGATGATGTCGTCACGCCCCTGTCCATTTCTATGTCCCAAACTCTATGCAGGCATGCAGCTATGCTGATGGTGCTGAGTCCGAAATGTCAGGATATGTGGTTAAGAAGTTGTACAACGGGCTGGATCCTATTTGTACCCTTCGTACTAAAACTAATCTAAAATTTGATAAAAAAAATCTCATCTTATGTTTTATTAATAAACTTATTTGAAATATATAAATGTTAATACTTTGACTTTTTGAAATACGAGATGCCTACTTAGGATATGTGGTTAAAAAGTTGAACAACGGGCTAGATCCAATTTGTGCTCCCTTCGTACTAAATAATCTAAAATTTGATTAAAAAATTCTCACATCGCATGTTTATGTAGTAAACTTATTTGAAATATAAATGTTAATACTGACTTTTTAAAATACAGATGTGTAATTATTTTAGAAAGTATATAGTAAAAGAAAGAAAAGTCCCATTTGACCTCCAGAAAGTTTTGGTTTTAAAATACAATTCTTGAACTTTTTAAGATTTGCTCGTCTGAGTGATTTTGCCGATCATCAACTTTTCAAGTTATGACTTCAGTAGTTTGCATACCAGTTTCAGTTGACTCAGTCCATGTGGACATGATGATGTGGCCTAGCTGCTGACTAGAACTAGAACTCAAAAATCTCTCATTTTGCCATGGCCTAATATGTGTGGTAGAACCGTCCGAAATAGCATACTTATGGAGGCGCTTGTCTTCCACCAGACATTAAGCACCCGAGAGCGAGCTACAACGGTCGGTATCCGTCGGGCACACCCCGAGGGAGAACCCGAAAGATCCATATTTTTTTCAAGGATCCAATAATAAAAACGAGTTACAATACCAGTTCATTTCATACATCAGAGTTTCTTAAAAAGTACATTATTACAATACGAAATACCAGAGTGTGGAATAATAAACAGCGGAATTTTAAAAATAACAATTAGCGATAATGGCGAGGATCTGTCTATGCCTGTCAGAAGAAGCCTCTACACAAAGGGGTACTCCTCAAGCATCACTTGCAACAGGGGTAAATAAACCCTGAGTACACAATGTACTCGCAAGACTTATCCGATTAGTGGGAATAATTTCCTGACTTCAAGGAATATGATAGGCTTTATGGTTTGCTAGTTTTCTTTAGCAAAATAGCACTAACAGTGAGTCCTTATTTATGTCTTATTATAAGTCGTTATTCCTCACAAGACTTATCCGACTAATGGGAATAATTTCCCGACTCCAAAGAATATGCTATGCTTTATGGTTTGCTAGTTTTCTTTAGCAAAATAGCACTAACAGTGAGTCCTTATTTATGTCTTATTATAAGTCGTATTAAGTTATCATCTAGCCAGTCTATATAAGCACATGTTCTACTTTCAAGCAAGAGTTGAGCAATCAGTTCCATTTCTTCTCCTTTCAACTTTCAGTTCTTACTACGGTGCTAAACACGAGACAAGCCGTACCGAATCGTCCGACGATTCGCGAATCAATGTGCCCAGCTGGGTGCCCCGAAAACACACGCCCCGCTTGTACCCCGGGCACAAGCAGGACTAACCCATTGCCCTCCTATCCTGGGTGTCCAGGTCCCCATCCAAACTTGGACTCCAAGCCCCCACTCCTGTGTCCTGGACTCAGTGCGGTGCAAGGACCTCCACCATCCCGCCTCCCATCAGTCGGTCCGGAAAGAGCCAGATCCACGACAAGAGAGCAACAAGTCTTCCCTACACCCATACCCAAGTATGTGTTCGGGATAATAAATCTGTGACTTGCCCACGATGCCTTATGCAGCGATCGGTCCTTAATCGACATAGATAGGAAAAAAGTATAACCGAGCTATGCCCTGTTGGCCGCAGGACACAACCCCTTACACCTACCAATACCCAAACCATATCCCTGCCCGGTCACCGGTTACCTTTACCATTTTATCATGAGTCATCATATTTTATCACCTATTTGCGAGTAACGGCAGGTTACTCACGTTACCGATATCCTAAGTATAGCAGCTACTCGACCTGTACTAGTAGGCTTCATAGGTAGATATATTTATGCATATAGTTTCCATAAAATACCTGTAACATAAATGCACATCATATATATATATTCAGTATTCAGTAAAAATATGGGTTATGCACCGGGGCTTGCCTTGGGCAGGTGTCGGGTCAGTAGTGTCAGCACCAACAGGCTCCTGTGTTCCCTCCTGCACGAGGATCTCCTCCTCGTACTCGATCACGTCGTCGTACTCTGGCTCACCGACGGGCACGAAATCTACCAGCTCGTGATCAACAGGAAATGATGATGCAATGTTTAATAATATGACAACAGCAACTCTTAACCTAAAAGTACATCTATTAAACTACTAAGTGAGGTCTACCCACTAAAGGCTAAGCTACGTATTGTCACCATTAACAAGTATGAAACATGACTTACATTCTTATAGCAACTACAGGTATTCTTACTCCTAACACCGATTTAATCTAGATACGATAAAACGAGGGTGATAGCTACTCTATTTACCAACTTAATCTAAGTATACAAAATTTATAGCAAGTACCTAATAATCTAGTGAGCCTACTGTAAAAATTTTATAGCTATAGCTATCACCAATTTCCCACAAGAATTCCTACAAAAATTAATCTACATAATACTAAGCTCTCTAGTTTGGATTTATGAGCTCATTACCATCACCGCTAACTGTAAACTAACTACACTAACAGATAGATGGTATTTTTGTGAACCTAACAAACTTGGTTTCACTATTTATAGACATCTACAAGATTTACTACAATTTATCAAAGTTCAGCTAAAAACTATATTGAATAAGCATTTACAATCTACTGGAAATGGAAAATGCCATTCTATTATCGCCCACTCAAATTTACTTGCCGACGTGGCCCAATAAAGCTGCGCGCGATGATCTGACGTGCCTAACGGCGAATGCTGATGACCGGCGCTGGCCGGCCCAAAGACAAATGAGGGCGAGACTTTGCAGCTTGCTGCTGTAGCGGTGACGCGGCGCGACGCAAGCGCAGGCAATGCGCAATGCCGCCGCACCTGCGACGGCGACGATGACGGCCCAGCGTATTTATGGCGCGCAGCGTGCTGCGGATCGCGCGAGCAGCATGGCGCGAGTAGGAGCACAGGCGCTAGCATCAGCAGGCCCATGCGTATTTCTAACGTATTTTGAGCTTTATTTTCCTACAAGAAAACGGCCACAAAACATGTGTGACGCAGGGATGACGCAGAGCTGACGTCAACAAGCTAAGATAAATAGTGCGCACCGCCGGCTGCTCTGCTTTCGCGTGGCTGCTCGATGCTCGCTGGTCGCGGAGAAGACGCTATACGGCGGTGGAGCTTCGAATGAGGTGGGCAGGGCGATAAGCAGCTGGAGGAGAGGCTAGCAGTGCAATGAATTGAAATGGCAAGCTCTGATTCCATGGCTGGATGACGGCGCAGACCACCCTGGTCTTATGGACCCGGTGGAGCTGCACTTCCAAAATTGATCCACAGTGTGGCACTACAAGCGGCGAGGTGGGGTCGGTTGAGCTGCTAGCTATCTAGCGGAGCTGAGAACTAGATTAATTGGGTCACGACGCTGCCACGATGGCAAACCGAAGGACACGGTCACGCCGGCCTAAACGACAGTGGAGACAGGGGAGTCTTGGCATCGCTTGGCTTGGCACAGCCACGACCGTCCATGCAAAAATACCAGCGCACACAAACGACAAGGACAACGAGGTGTGCCTAGGCGGCTGTCCACACGGCCGAACCCGCAAGCCGACAAAGCTCGGACCTACGTCACCGCGGACGGTGTCGGACAAGGAAAGCCAAAACGCAACGTGACATCGAAGTGACGGTGGAGCAGGTGGCCGTCTCATGCGCGCAGCTGTGGCTGGTCAACGGGAGCAGTACTGCGTGGTGGCGATGGACGACGCGCAGCGCGACCAAGGTACCGCGCGACGACGGCGATGGCGAGGCAGCGGACCCGTCTTGCTGATCTTGCGTCGAGGCGCGAGCGGCCAAAGGCGGCCGATGGTGCAAGAGTGAGACCACGGCCAACGAGTAGCTATGTTTGAAATAGGTGACGTGTACGGTTTCAAAAGCGGTCGCAAAATGCTACCCAATGGTCCAAACGCCGAACCAATTCTTTTAGACGCAAGAGGGTACGTAGGGCTATCGACCCAAGCCATTACACCACGCCACTTCTTAAGTCGATCTCTCTACAAAAATTACCAAAAGTGGCTTCATCGACCCATTTTTAAACTTACACGGAATGATGTAACTCTGAACGGTTTCGCGTCGAATTTCAATTCTGACCTACTGGATGTACTAGCTGGCTATCCTCGCCCTCGACCACACCATCGTCGACTACGAAGCACGTACTACAAACTTTATTAAAGCTCGCATAAACGTTCTACATCATTTTTATCCGATAAAAATTTGCTTAGCATACTAACGATGTAAAGCGACATGAAATATAACATTTGTTTCGTGTTTCCGACGAACGTTTCAAGTTATGTACATTACTATATTACAACCATCCACAAACAAGTATGATACTCATGTAGTGTTTTAGCAAAAATAGTACAATGTAGCACTGAGGGTGTTACAAATCTACCCCCTAAAATAAAATCTTGACCCGAGATTTCATGTGCCTAGTGTGAGAAAGAGATAGGGAATACATTTCAACACTGCACTAACTACCAGCGCCAGAGAGGAGATGGGGGTAATGCTTCAACAAGTAACTTTCTTGCTCCTAGGTGG